TTTATGAACTGACAAAGAATCTAAATTTGAGAATGGTACGCTGACGACTACAACATCGGACTCAGGCTCGGCAAAGCCACTGCTATCTGACTGGGCACTCTCGTATCGACATATGACAGCTGTGAAGAGAAATAACATAGTTAAGAATACCCACAAAATGTAGATGGGTTTAGAATTAACAAAAAAAAAGAAAAAAAAAAAAAAGAGAAGGGAAAGAAAAGGAGAATGGTTAACTTGTGAATATCAGAAATCAGTGAATCGGCCTCGTCTCTTGTCTGTACAGTAAGTAGGTAGGTTATTTGGCCAAAGTAGTGATTCAGTAGGTGGTAACTGTTATGGCTTTGTCAGGAGACAACCATGGCGGGTCTTGTTGGTTTTGGTATGATAAAGAGGTAAAAAACATTTGCCTTCCTCACCAACTGGTCATCTGTATCTAAGTGGTCATTAGTGAGAAGATGACAGACATGGGTGAAAGAAACAAACCACAGCAACAAAGACTAAAAGGTCAGCCATATGTTAAAGATGGCAATTACAAAGTTACTGTCAGAATAGTAATAAAGACATAACAAAACATACTTATAAAACAAGCCAACCATTAAGAGAGAAAAGTGGTAGGCTACTTGATACACTGTAGAAAAAAAATGGGGTATTGTGTTGTTTTTTTTTGTTTTTTGTAATGAATATACATGCACTTTTCTTTTTTCTTTTCTCAAGATGATAATGCGACTAAGATGCAAGAGACAAAACTGGGAGTGAAAGAGAATGAGATGACATTAAAAGAACAGGGTTCAGGAATACAAAGGATTGCGATGCCAGTCGCATTTAAATTTTTGAAGATCGTAGAGGGCAGCAAAAAAAATTTGAAGAAAGTTCCACGTGAGTAGTGTCCGAAAATAAACTATTAGAATAGAACTTAGTTATATCTAGTTACTTCAACAATAAAACAATGACACTTGCCAATCTAGTAGCACACTTAAATTCAAGTTAGGTCAGGCTTATACCTGCTACTGGTAAAATAGCCAGTACAACCTATGACATAGATGGGTGGCTGGCATCTAAAGCAACATCCCCCACTAGCTTTTCTGATGGTGAGAATGGTGGCATGTCACTTCACAGAATGAAAAATAAGACCTGTTAAAGGATGGCTGAGTTTTTTTATAAGAGCCAATGGCCAACACACACACACACACATATATATGATTAATACAAATATAAAAATTTGTCACTTAGGCAATTGATGTTATATAAGGCAAGGATGGAGTTTCAAGCCTTGAACAGCAATCTTCCTAGAAATGCGGAACAGGCTACAGAGAGGATGTTTCCCAATCATGATTATCCTACTAACCTGTACTCCATACCTCCTCTTGCACCTTTACAACAACCTCATTCAGTCATTCTCTACCTCAAGTGGAGACTTGCATTAGATTAACAATAGTTAGAAAAAAAAAATAATAATAATAATAATAATAATATAGGTTCACTCATCATCCATTCAGACTCCTCCCTGGTCTTTTGAACTGGAGTAGAGGTTTATTCGTTGTTTCCTGTTTAGGATTAAATTTGTAGTTCCTTCTAAAATTTTCTCATTCTCTTTCACACTTAGTAGCCACTTGCATCAGCATTATTGGGGTGAATTAATTAAGATAAAAAAAAAAAAAACAGATAAATTCAAAGCACTGGAATAGTAAAAATATCTTCTGAAATCTAATCAAAGTATTAAAAACAGGAAAATTTCATTAGAAACAAAGAAAAGATTGCTTAACTGCTATCAATCCTCCTATATGGTAATTAATGTTGGACAATTCCTTGCACATGAAGAAAAGACTTGAGATAACATAGATGTTGCTCTACAGAAGGAAGCTGAGAATACCGTGTTTGGAGCATGTAAGCAATGAAGTAGTTTTAAAGAAAATGGACACAGAAAGACCAAAAATGAGAAGGAAAGCGCTGAAATTTCTGGGACGCATAATGAGAAAAGGTCTGGAAAATTTGGTACTCACAGGACTTATTGAAGATAAGCAGAGCAAAAAGAAATAGTGAGTATTTTACCTAACAAGCTTTTATAAATGGACAGCAGATCAGGCTATTAAAGATAGGAAGTTGTGGAGAGCTATGATCACCAAGGACACAGCACAGAAGAGGGCTTATTAATGCATCAAATTTATATGATCTTTTACAGAAATTTTTAGGTAAATTTATGATGCTTTTCATCCTTTAGGACTTCATCGTACTAAATTTGTTATGTTGGTAGGACTACACATACACACAAATGAGGGGTGCTGGGTGTTTTTAGAAATAAAAAAAAAAAAAATGATTAAGTAAAGCAAAATAAGAATAAAATAAAATAAGGAAAAAAGACTAAGTAAAAGGCTCTAAATGAATTTGGCTAGAGGTTTAGAAAAAAAAAAAAATTCTACAAAACCCCAGCACCCTTCATTTGTGCACATGCTTTAGTCATCCCAACACAAATTGAAATCCTGAAGGATGAAATGTGTCACAAGTAAACATTTTCCCCGAATATTTTTCTTGACATAAAATATATATCATTATCTCAAATTTATATGATCTTTTACAGAAAGCTGATCAACTTGCATTCTAACTATAAAACAAAATGTGGGTAAAAAGGATTTCCAAAATTCCATTATTTCACAATTAAAAATGGTCAAGGCAAGATTCATATCAGGAGACTCATTTGGTCCTGAAAGTCCTTTGACAGCTTTATTTTTTTTACTGTTAGTTCATCCAATACAAGGCTCAAGGGCTACTCAAGGTAGAGGTTACCAAGTAAGATTGTAAGGTAGGAGGAAAGAAGAGAGTATTATGAGGACATGTAGGACAAATATGGGTTGACCCTGGACTTAAAGAGACCTGAGATTGTAGTTCCAGGGAAGCATTCTCTCAGGAGTTCATTCCACAAAGTAATGTTATAAAATGTGAAGGCCAGGGCTAGAATGGTCAGCAACTGGCTGGAGTTCCTTGTAGGCATGGTATTCTGACAGTGATGGATAGCTTTTGTCTGGATTAGGATACAAGTTCAAAATGTTGTGAATTCAACAAAGGGCCACAAGAATTCTGAAGCACTGATACACCTCTCACACCCAGGTGAGTGACCAGCTAAGACCACCCATGGAGGGACTGAGCCAACATGCAACATATGTTCCCGCAACGTCATTCCACCCACTGCCTTTTAGAATCCAAACTGCCATCACTCTCTCCTAATAAAACGAATAAGAAATGGTCCTTTTCATTGATATCATTTAATATAGTAGCATGGGGACTTACACAAACACAATGCATCAATTCTGAAGTAGAAGCTGTCTGGGTAGAATTTGCTTTTCATCAAAGGAACACAAAGGGAATGGAGATGGTTTGTGACCATGAATACAGCATGGACAGTTCTAGCTGTGAAGTGCTGAGCTGGTAACCCTAACTAACTAATCTGAACATCTGTTATAGTAATAGCAATAAAGTAGTGATAGGCTGGTGATGTTTTGTCTGTGGGATAAGGTTTGCAGGGTAAGAATAATTCATCACTCTCAGGGCTGTGTAAGCACTTTTGAACCCTGTCGAGACTAGTGAAGATATAGTATGGCAGGAGTTAGGTATTTTCTGGAGCATATTTGTTATTGAGTGATGAGTGTGTCATATGTATCATTTTACATTTTTTTTATTGAATTACACGACAGGTTTCATTCAAATTGAATGAAACCTGTCGTGTAATTGATTGGGGTTGTTGTAACTTCTTCCTTTAATGTTGTTCTTATCATTCACCCCTTAGCCATCTATATCTAGAGACGAGACGCGTTAAATTTGAGCAACATCTAGCTGACAAACTGGGGTTAAAATAGGAAACTAAAATGATACATATGACACACTCATATCCTCTCTCCCACCTCACTTCCTCACTTCTTTAATTTTACGTATACTTGATGAGGTCCGTCAAAAAATGTGAATTTCTTTTCATTTTTCATTTTAGCTTTTGGAAGTAAAGTCTGATGATCCAGAACCCTGTTAAAGGGGTTATGGTGAAATAGCTTATTACATGGAATCTTAACGTGGCCTGTCTTTTATTCAAATATATATATATATATATATATATATATATAAAATGACATATTTCATTTTTGTGTTTGTTTAGCATATTCCAGTCAGAATGAAAGCCAAAACTGTATCTTTTATATTAGAATAATTATTGTCTGCTTGCTAGATTGGCATCTTCTGGAATGAAAACAGTGTTCTTTGTATTAAAGCCATTAATGTCTGTTTGATCCAAAATTATCCCATTCCATGTAGATTTGTTATTCTCTATTTTTTGTTCAAATTCCTTATTAACATGCATATGCACGCGCACACACACACTTTTTTTTTTAATAATCATTTCACCCCAAGCAAGGTGATAATGTCAACAGGATTCAAGGAGTTACATGTAGGGAAATAGAATGGAAAGCGAGATGAAAGGACAATAAAAGAACAGATTTCAAAAAGACTGAAGATGGTGATTGACATTGCATTTAAATTTTGGAAGTTTGTCTGTAGCAGGTAAGTAAAAGTTCTGGCTTGGCAATCTCCATTACACCCATGATTTTGTTGACTGAAAATCGAACAATGAAAATGTTTTTTTCAAAGTCTAATATAATTATTATATTATTTATACTTATCAGTGAAGAACGAAAGCAATTTATCCCATTTCCAAACTTTTAGACATGGAACAAAAAAAATCCTAGGAATACCATGGACAAAGCATGTGAGAAACAAGGAAATTTTAAGAACAGAAACTCCAAGGAAACTGCTGCTGCAAAGAAAAGTGAGCTGGAGCTTTGGCAACACACAATAAGGAAAGAAAGCCTGGAGAATTTAACACTCACAAGGCATATTGTAAGTAATAGAAGCAGAGGGAAAGAGTGAGTAACCTTAGTGAGTAAATGGATAGTTAAGAAACCACAAAGAAAGACAGAGGTGGTAAAGAAGAAAGAGTTATTTAAATTAACTGATTTGTATTTTACAGCTTATCAACTTTTTGTAGGTTATTTAAAGCCAGAAAGTATTTTTAGATTGTAAAAATTTGAGGATAATACTGACTCAGTGATACAAATCCTACTAATTAACAGATAGTTTAAGGTGACAAGAGATGAATTAATACCTTTCCCAAGGGTATTTGCATGTAAGTCAATATAAAGAACCTGGTGATCTTGCATCAAGAACTTGTGTTTCAATGTGATATGGCCGTGAACCAAGTTACTTCAATAAGTAAGAAGTTGTGGAGAGCTATGATTGCGTACATTCTGAAAGGATATACTACATAAAAAGTCAAGAGACTTGAAGCAACATTTTGGTTCTACTGATGAATAGAGAATATCGTAGACAGAGAATGTGAGAAACAAGCAAGTCTTAAGGAGAATAGGAACTACAAAGAAACTCTTACTAGCAATAAGAAAGGAAGAGCTAAAATTCTAGGGACACAGTGAGGAAAGAATGCTTGGAGAATTAAACACAGTCAGAATATATTAAAAGGTAAAAATAGCAAGGGAAATCTTCCACTCAGCTTAACAAGCTTGAACAAATGGATAGTAGAATAAGGATGATAAAAAAAGGAAGTGAAGGAGCAAGAATTACTTAGAGCAACAAAAGACAGGAAGTTGTAGAGAGTCATGACTGCCCATGTCCTGAAAAAAAAAATCACAGCATATGGAAGAATTTTCAATGTCTGACATACAGCAATGTCAATCATTTTTAATCTTTTAAAATTCATTTTTCTTTCATCTTCAGTTACAACTGTCAATAATATATAACACTGATTGGAAAGTCCCTGGTAAGATTTGAACTTATATCATGAGGCCATGGAGACAACTAGTTACAAAAGTTCAAATCTAACCATATAGTTTTCATTCTTTATTTTCTTCCCATGATGCATTTGCTGCCATCTCCCAAACTGCAATGAACTTGCTGCCACTTTTATTCCCTTCTCACCTCAAGAAAATTCTTGCCATTTTGTCTTGCACCTCTTCCCACTGCAATGAACTTGCTGCCATCTCAGTCTCGCACCCCTCCCTGCACCTCAATGTATTTGCTGCCATCTCAGTTTTCCCACCCAGAATGAATTTGCTACCATCTATTTTTTTGGGAAGAATGAAGGAATTTAATGAAGTGTTTAAATTTCTTAAAATTTCTATAACTGGTTGCTCACCATGGCTTAATAGATAAAGCAGTTGATTCTTGCTAGAATAAGAGATACCAGTTCAAATCATGCTAGTGGCTTAGACTTTATTTTGGTGCCAGACTATTATTGTAAATTGATGCTTTGAAAATTTCATTAAGAAACCAATTGTAATTAAGATGAAAAAATACAAGATAAAATTTTCATACAAATTTGTTTTCTTAATTTATATAAAAAACGAGGCAGTAATTAAGAATTTAAGAAATTACTGTCAAATATTAACAATAATTACTTCATGGAATAAAAATTTCAAGAAAAAAAATGTAATGGTTATAATTACTACTATTATTAGTAATAGTCTATGTAAAAATAATAAAAACTATATTGCTGAGTGATTGGGGAAGAATGAAGGAATTTCTAGGTTAGATTTCATCTGCCAACCATAAAACTCTGGTAGCTTAATCAGTAGAGCAACAGCCATATAAGGCAGGCATCTTGAGGTAAGAGACAGAAATTCAAATCTCACAGAGTGCCTTTTGATTGCTTCCTTCTTTATTTGTGATCTGTGCTGTTTACTCACTGTCATAGACCGAGTAAGTTGCAGTGAATTATTTAATAAAAATTCAATAAAGCATTACTTCTAAAATGATTAATGTTATTGTTTTTTTATATAACAGATCAAAGAATTACTAATAAGAAATTAAAAAGATTGACAAGAATTCATCTAAAAAGAAAAAAATTAGGCCTAAAACTATCAATTTAAAAAAAATACAAGTAAAATTAAAATGAAAGGAAATTAAACAAAAAAATAAGGCTTGACAATGTTTAATCTAATAAACATTAAAAAAGATTATTTCTAATATTATTAATGTAATAGAAAGTGGCACTGACTACATGTTACCTTATAAGGAAACAATTACTATTACAAAAAGAGGAAAATGATAGTATTTCTGTAGTTATGACAACAGAGTAATGAGTATTCTTTGAAGGTCTCATCATAACAGACCCTTAATCACACAGCAGATTACATTTGTTGAGGTAAAAAAGAGGAGAGCAATGTGTGAACCAGTGTGATGAAAATCTTTATAGAAAAAAACAAAGCCATGTCACATCCATGGGAAAGTGACTGAAGTTGAGATGCCTGGTAAGGACTGGTATCCTTACAGACATCTTTTGATTTTGTTGAGTATTTCAATATATATAACTAGAGCACCAGACTATATATGGCAGGGATATTCAATGCCAGAATGAATGGTAGATTTATAAATGTGGAAGATGGATTCTTACAAGAAAAATTATCTGACATAAAACAATGAACCAACCTTTTTAGCAAATGTACTTCATGTTGGCATTTTCTGCTGATATAAAAATGCAGCAACAACTAAAATGAATAGCAAATGTAACTCAAAGAGAAAATAATGACATAATCAAGATGTTGATATTCCACACTACTTCAAGCAAAAGGGTAGAAAGGAAACCCCCATCAATAATTGAAAAAGCAATAACGGTTACTGGATTCTTGGTCACACAGCAGATTACATTATGGATCTTCTGTAATGACTTGTTTAAAGAATGCTAAATGGAATAACATTGTAATTTCTCAGGCTAACATTTTCTACAGACATGAAGTGGAAAGATTATATAGAATCAATTGCTAGATCTGCTGATAGGAAAATGGATTCATTGTGTCATGCTAGACAATTTTTCTCACCAGAATCTATTTTACCATTCATCCATGCATTAAATATTGCGGTCACATCTGGTCTAGTGTTTCTGCTATATATTTAGAGATTCTTGATGAAATACAAAGATAAATCTGCAATGTTATCAGTTCTGACTTGGTATCTCAGCTTCAATCACTTTTCTACTGGTATAATGTAACTTTTCTATAAATATTTTTATGGTAATTGTACTGATGAACTTTCCTCTTTGGCATCTAGACTTTATGAATTTAAGCATGCTTCTAGATTGGTGGCAATGTTTCATCATTTTACAATTGAAATGGCTAGATGTAACTAAGTTCTATTCTAAAAATTTCTTCTCACACACTTTTCTCTTGTGGAACTTTGATTTTCAAAAAATTAAATGCAATATCAGTTGTTATCTTCTATCTTCGTAATTCCTGTTCTTTTATTGTCCTTCTCCTTACTAATGTTTTCCTCTTCTCTGACACTCAGTAACCACTTATTAGCTCTATTGCCTAGCTTAGGATGAAATGATTAAACAAAATCTATTTTTTTGTGAAGCGGAAGACTAAAAAATTATGTCAGATTTATTTTAGATAAGGATCTATCATTATTGCATGCATTCTCATCTTGGTTGTTTTACATTTCAGCCATTGTACTCTTTGGCCTTATTCAAGTCTGTCATACTAAATAAGATCGGAATTTTTTTTTTCTTAAACTCTTTATTCCAGGAAGAAGATAGTCATTCCATTGTCTATGCTTAGGGGATATCTTGTATCAATATCCTAACACCAGTGTCATTTTGTTTGCTTCAATAAAAGAAGAAATGGACACATAATACAAAGATGATAAAACATCCATAATGTGTTTAAATAAATTTTTAAAATGTTTGGGGACAGAGTGGTCTTGATAACAATAGGCATTTGATAAGAGTGTCAGTGATTCTAATTCACATGTTGTTTTATGTCTAATAAGGAAAAAACTTATGCATTAATACAGAACTTGTTTCATCAATCAAGTTATGACATAGATATGCTATGAACAGATTCCTAACTTTGGGAATTATCATAGTCTCAGAAGAATGAATAAGAAAATGTACTTACGACTTTTTTCTTGACTAGCACTTGTTTTCTGGATTTGTTCATCCTAGACAAAGAAATGGTAAGATGAAGATAATAAAGGGCAATTTTACAATTAAAATCATTTTACTGCCAAGTTATTATTTTAATTATCTATATCTGATGTATAAATTCAAACATGACAAAAAGAAGCAAAAGTTGGGAAAAGGGCTCTCCAAAATTTCCTGTCTGTTAGGTCATTTTCGCCTCTTTACCATTCCTTTTAATCCTGGCATTTATTTACTCAAACTTGTTAAGTAGGTTACATGTTGTTGTTCCTACTACTTGGACATTCAAAATGCCTTATCAGCCTTAAATTTTCTAACTTTCCTTTCCTTATTCTTGTAACAGAGATTCAGGTCAGCCTGATAAAAGACTCCGAATTGGTTGCATGTGGCACTGTAAGCACCAGGAGTTGCATCCCCTTCCACAATGGGCTGTTGAGAGAAGACTCTTCTATTTAGAGTAGGTGGTGGAGATTATTTGCATATGAATGATAATGGGCAGGTATTAGCCAATTTGTCAACATGGGTCTGGGATTCAAATAGCTATATAATACCAGTGGTTTTCTCAGTCAAGAAAAACACTCTCGATGTGCGAAAACTAGATAAGATGAACACAATTCTATCCCAGAAATTTCAGCTATTACTTTCTGGTTGTAATTCGTAGCAAATATGGGGATTTTTTTTACAATTAAAAACCTATAATTAAGATGGGGATTTCAGTTTTAATTAAAATAAGAACTACAAGGAAAATTAAAGCTAAATTTAGAAAGAGTTAAAATTAAAGTATGTAATGAGGAAAGAGGTCTTGGAGAATTTAACACTCACAGATCATATTGAAGAAAAGAACAGCAACTAATTTGCTTAATGGGTTTGTGTGAATGAATTGCAAAGTGAGAGTCAAAAGTTACTTTGAACAACAAAAGACAGGAAGTTCATAACTGCCCAGATCCTGAAGGGTCATAGCACATAAAAGAAAATGTAGAAATCATAATTATTTTAAGTTGAATAAAATGTTATTCATTTAGTTTGTATTGCATGAAGAAAATGCAAAATAAATACAAAATGCTGAAAAGCTTTTGAACTGACCCACTTCCCCCCCCAAAAAAAATCTGACCATTTGACCAAAGGATAGACTTCTTTTTTTCTTTTTTTTTCTTTATTAAAGAGAGGATGTTGAAAAGTTCTTGGCCTGATCCACTTCCCAAAATCTGGCCCAATGAACAAAGATTTTTGTTTCTTGTTTTTCAGAGTTTCTTGGTCAAATTGAAAACTTTTCAGCACTTTTTTGTACAGTTAAATTGCAAAATTAGTTAAATACTAGTGACTTACTGATGGTATAAATAAAGTAGTAATTTAATAATTATTATTGACTGCTAATATAACCGACCTCTGCAATGCTATCAAAAAGAATTTATAAAAGATCAGTACATGTGCATTGTGGTCCAATGGATTATGGCTCAGAATGAGAATTTGGAAAGTTGAGTTTGAATTACACTCAAATCCGTTACATTCACTTACATGTGAATACCCTTGGGAAACTGTATGAACCCATTCCCCACCAAGTTATGGGTTGAATAACAACACAGACTGGGCCCTATAGCCTTTATTGGCAACCAGTCTACCACAGAAAAAAATGGCAACCTATTGCAAAGAAATTCTGCCTAGTCAATCATGAATCCAAAGAGACATGATCACCCAAGTGTGTGTCATGTATGGCACTTCTGTAACTGAGTGTTTTTAACTAATAAATTGCTTCTTTTTTTTTTCCTCTCATTTCTTTTTGGCTTTTGTGGAGGGGGGTGTTAAGGACATTGAAGAATTATTATTTATTTGCTTTGATGATCAGGATTTTTCAAAAGGAAGTTATAGTCAAGGTAGAAAAATATGAATTGCTTGATATTAAATGAACCCTTTTATTACAAAATCATGCACCGAAGTGATGATTATATAATAGTCCACATATATAAAATACAAAGTGCATAAATATAAAAAGGGATACTACAAGGTTCTTGATAATTCATAGTTATTTACGAATAACCCTGAACTATGAAACATGTAAATACTACTATGAAGCTTGATTGACTGTGAAAGCTTTATGTGGGTGGGCAGTCTAAAGCAAGATGGGCCTAACAATGGTTTTCCCAACAAAGGAAATGTAGATTTGAAACATTTTCTTTGTTAAGACTCTCAAATGCACAAGTCAGTAGACATAAATTTTCACTATTTACATAGATCGGAGACTTATCCTCATCTTGTCACATTCACAATGTTTTGGCTGTTGTACATTCCAGCCTTTTTCAGGTGATATTTATTAGAATTTCAAACTGAACCCATAAATCCATCTGTATGCTAGCATTTCTGAAGATTGGTTCAATGATGTCTGTTAAAAATTGGATTTTCTTCAAATGGAGCAGTCTTCTGCAGCTTTTATTTCAACTTGAGTCCAGCTAATTCTTTTGTTGGTTTTAGTCAGGACAATATTGTAACTAGTCAGACCAATATGGAACACACGAGACAAGTCAATATGGCAATTTGTAGCAGTGGGTAAGGAAGAGAAGCCCATCCTTAAACTGTGCCAATTACAAGAAAGGAGGTGGTGTCCACTAGAGACTTGTTCACAAGTACATCAGGAGTCTTACAGCATCAATTCAAACTGATTTTGAAAGTAACACAGCTGGTTTGATGATGAAATTGTTGAATTTTTTTTTTCATTGTTGTAGGAATGTCAGGTGGTTCAACATTTGTTCCAGCTTCTGGTGGGACTTTTCTAATTCTAATTGTGTCCATATTTTTGGTATGTCAGGTTCGTACCAATCCTTCAACATCGGTCTATATTTCCAAGATTGTTGTCATCTTTATTATCACATTCACAACATCCTTTCTTGTAATCGGCACCTTCACACAATGTCACGATGGAGACCTCTTCATTACCCACTGCTACAAATAACCATATTGAATTATCCAATGTATTCCATATTAGTCATACTACTTATGATGTTGTCCTATTTAAAACAAAATAATTAGCTAGGCTCAAATTGGAATAAAATCTGTAGAAGACAGATCCATTCAAAGAAAATTCAATTTTTTTTTTTTTTTTTTTTACACAAGCATCATCCAACCAATGTTCAGAAACACCAACTTACAGATTGACTATTCTGTGTTTGATTCAAAATTCAAACAAATAATCACCTGAAGAAGGCTGGAGCATACAACAGCCAAAATGTTGTGAATGTGACAAATATGAGGAAATGTCCTAACAATGTAAATATTGTAAATAGCTACAATCTCAGAAATATAGACAGAAAAAAAAAAAAAGGATATTTACTTAAAAGTGTATATTCACTACATATAGCATTTAAATTCTTACAAACATGTTGGGTTGAATAATATCAACAAATTCTATCTACAAAATTTTTTATTCCCTTTTTCAAATTTCTAAATTAGTGGATTTATGTAATTGGTACCAAAGTTCACATTTATTTTATATTCACTCACCGACTGAGTACTTTCAACTGTTACAACAATTTAATGAAGTCTTTATTTTTGATTATATCAAGTTAGTTGATTATATTGTTTTTTCTTTAAGGCTAATCTATTTTCTTCACCAACATTCTTGTTTGGGAAATTATTGTTGATGTTTGTTCCATGTTACTTAATTCTTGTTTAAAAGAAGTTAAATTAATGAAAATGTGTTCAATAAAACAAACAAACAAAAAGAAGAAAATGGAGATCAATTTAAGACCTAAAACTACTAGAAAATTCCTCCAGTCAAGCTATGAACCTGTGTAGGGGTATTTATATAAAATATAACAATCCCTACCCCCACCTTCTTTCTTTCTCCCCATTGCCAGTGGCATGTTTGTGTATGTAAGAGCGTCTTGAGATGAAAAATGCAATTTTACTGTCTGACAATACCTAATTGATAGAAATCACGGTAAGAAGAAGGTTGGTGTTCTAAATATTTGATGTCTTATGTGAGTGTGTGTGTGTGTGTGTGTGTATGTGTGTGTAAAAATTCCAGAAAGAGTATATCTGTAAAAGGACAATATGAATAAAGACAAAAAGAGTGAGCGAGCAAGAGAGAGAGAGAGCAAGAGAGAGAGAGAGAGAGAGAGAGAGAGAGCAAGAAAAAAAAAACAAACAAACAAAAAACACAAAAGAACAAAGAAAATTAATGAAGTACAGAAAAAAAAAACAACTAAAATTAAAAATAAAAAGACATTTGTATTTTCTAAGTATAATCAATCATGAATCCTGTAACCCACGAGGATTGGGTGCATGAGAATTTACTATATGTACTGCAGCTAGCAGCAGTGGGTGTGTCTAGGACAAGAGAGCCCAATGAAGCCCACCCATATCCAGGTTTTTTGAATTCAGTTTTTCCTTTTTGTAGACTGGCTGCCACCCAGAGCAAGAGAGCCTGTTCTTCTTCTAAACCATAGCTAAAGAAAGATGGATTCATGCCTTTTCAAAGAGTATTGGTGTGAAGTGAATAAAACAGACAACCAGATTTTGAACTTTGCACATCAATTCCATTTTACACACTGATAACTGCAAGAAGATGATTTAATTTCAAGTTATTTTTACAGTATGGAATACTACTACTACTAATAATAATAATAATAATGAAGAAGCATTAAGAATGCTGGAAACCTGAAAAGATTTGCTAATCCAATCCATTACTACATGCCACATGATCAGGTCTCTCCACCCCAGCAGGCTTTTCTGGTGAGGAAGGTGACTTGGCACTCAGATGGATTAAAAACAAGACATGTCAATGGTCATCTAACACTGGACTGCATTGTTATGTATTGATAGCTATTTCTGAGGGCAAGATTAGATAAATAGTTTGAGTAAACCAAAAGTCAGGTTACTGGTCAATTGATAATGGTATCATGTAACCTATTACTACCTGCCACATGGTCAGGTGATCAGTGACTGAACTGGTTCCAGCCCTCAGGCTTTCCTGGTAAGTATAGTAGTTAGACACCTCGCTGGATTAGAAAGAAAACCTAGCAAAGGGCAGGTGAACCTTCTTTTGTAGGATCAAAATGGCCAGACAACACAATTGGGTAGTATGCAGCCAATGCTGCAATGACAAATATTTTTCCCAATTTGCCATTGATTTTCTTAACATTTTTTGTTTACACACACACACACAGGTGCTCATCCTACATCCTGATACATAAAAATCTGAAGTAACTGTTTTTGTATTTAATGACAAACGTGTTTTTTCAATTAAAAACACAAAAACAAATAACTTTTTCTTGTTATAATTCTCAAAATAAAAGGTTTCTTAATTGAAGTATGATTAAGTTTGAAAACTATTTTTGTTTTGAATTTATTAATTTAAAAGAGAAAAGTTGAAAAGTGATTTGGCATGATCAAAATTGTTTAGGGGAACAATGATTAAGAAAAAAGAAAAAAAAAAGAAAACAGGCTGTAGCCCTGCAGTTTAACACAATTTATTTAACTTAAATTTTATATCAACTTTAATTGGAACCCATTGAATTTCTCAAAGACCCATCCAAATCATAACCTGTGGATCTAGGGGACTCACTACATAAAAAAAAAAAAAAACCTATCAATATCTGTGTGTATATAAGTTTAGTATGGCACAATGATGTCACAGTGGATTGAATTTCTTACACAGTAGTCATGATTTTTTTGTAATAATGTTAAAACAGTAGCTACCGCACTAAATATGTCAGACCACCGATGTAGTCAAGTGAATTGTAATTTTGTCTAGGGATGAAGTGACTGGTATTTTATGACTACCAAGAGTATTGTCAGTAAAATTAAAATGTGAGATTTTCAAAACAACCACCCAATGTCCATAAGGGAAAATGAAATGTGTCAATAAATTAATGAAAACACCCAATCATAGGACTGACCATGATGATTATGAATCCTCTTCACAAAAACCTGGTACAACTAGTATGAAGAATAAGAATAATAAAAAAAAGAATACTCACTTCCTGTTCATAGCAAGATGAAATACCTTCAGGAATAAGAGATGTTCTGGAATTGATCCATAAATCCCTGGAATTTCGAGGTACATGATTGGCGTTAGGATCTTCAAGATCAATACTGGAAAGCATTGCATCTTTGTAAAGGTCTTGGTCTCGCCGAGGCAACTCTGGTTCTAAGTAACTACATTCTCCATCTGCTAAATAACCTGAATTCACATTGGTACATTTTTCTGGAGTGGACTGTTTAACAGGACAGGATAAACAGTCCCCACCAAATCCCGTAGACTGGCTCTTCCAGCTCGAGCCTTCAGGACTCGTCTGGATTGCAATAGAGCTGATATCTGCACTATGACTGTCTGGGCAATCGAGTGGTGCATTTCCCTTGGGCTCATCTTCAAGGAAGACATTTTCAGCGGCATCAAGTGTTTCGGACATTTGGAAGGACAGAGGTTGTACCTGGTAATCTCCATCATCGTCTGCGTTATTCATCAATTTGGAGACCTGGATTTGGCGAGCTTGACTAATGCTGGACGTACTTGACAAACTGTCTCTGCTTTTACAATTTAAATAGGACCACCTGAGCTCGCTGACAGACCTTTGCCGACCAGTCCAGCTTCGATCAACATTGTCACTGGACATAGAAGAGTCTATGCTAGTGGCAAGAGTGCTGGTCGAAGGTCGAAAATCAGTTGAATAGGAATCAATGTTTGTTTCAGGTTCTATAAGCGACCAAGGCCGGGAACTTCGGGTAGATTTGAATTTTTGGCGTTTTTCTGATGCCGATAGGGGCTGGCTAGCTGTAGGTGAGGTGGTTGACTGTGTTGCTGAACTTTGTTTTTTCTTAGGAGATGGGAAGGAATCGTAATAACCCTGTTTGGCTAATGCTAACTGGTTGTCTGGAGTCAAAATGCTATTTGGTATACTGTCCATTTTGTCTGGGGAGGATCTGCAGGCAGCTGCCCGTATTGAAGAGAGGAACCTTATCCCATGCAGGTAAGGGGGCAATCGGGGGGTGTGGTTCCAGTTTCCTACACAACAGAAAGAGAAAATGAACATGCCACAAAAATAAACAAAAATAGAAAATTTGCAAGCAAAAGGAAAACAAACAAAAGCATGCAAACTATTTTTAAATCAAGATGGTGGATATTGTTTAAGAGTTGTTAAGAGTGTTTATGGTGTTATTTAGAAGATAGTTTGAGTTACTCTTTCAACTGCCCATAAGCTAGTCACCAACTTTAAGGTACTAAATAAATGTCCCCTGACTCTTTAGTAATTTTTAGATTTTTGCCATTCACCTTCCTGGGAGAATATTAGGACAATCCCCCACTCCAGTTATTAATTCTTGACTATTCATATGGATATGCACAACTTTTATTTCTTAAAGCAACTTTTCTCAGATTTGCCTAGATCAAAACTAAGTACATAACTGAAGTCAGTATGTCTTAAGCAACCGAATCTAAAGTAAAATAAATAAATGCATAATTGAAACAAAAATAATTACTAAAATTATTTATACTGGACGAGAGTGGACTGAAAAATTCTTAGATTGAGTATGAAGGTGTGATGCACAATCTGTGAAATTAATTTCACATGATAAAGGTGAGTGCCTTGTCTGCTGACAAGGCTTGTCATATCACAGGAAAATCTGACATAGCTTGAGGCAGGTCCTGCTAATTGCCTTGAACACTTTGATCCAGAGACATTCCATGCAGTGAAAGCACTCCTCCTCACCTGCTCCAAAGGCCAAGGTTGTTTCATCTGCAAGAAAGGTGATGGCCTCAGTTTTTTGGGATGCAAAGGACATTGCGTTTATTGACAATCTTCAAAAGGGCCACACCATCAATGGTGAATACTATGCCAACTTGCAGAGACAATTACAAAAAGCTATGAAGGTCAAACACCAAGGAGAACTGATGAAAGGAGTCTTATTTCATTGAGGCAATGCTCTAAGCACATAAGTATTTGGTTTCAATGGCTGCTGTGCGTAATTGTGGCTTTGAACTGGTTAATCCTTATCCTACAGATTCTCTTGATTTAGACCCCATCTGACTGTCATCTATTCTTTAACATGAAAAAAGAAAAAAAAAACACTTAGCTGGGAACTATTATCTCAGTGATGAGGATTTCATATCTGCTGTTAATGACCAACAGGATGAAAGCTTCTTCATCAATGCAACTCTGATGGAAGAAGCGTGTGGACTGCAAAAGAGAATGTGTTTAAAAATAAACCTCATTTGGGCACATTCCATGACTTATGTACCTTGCAGCCAACCGTTGTATTCAAGAATTCTACAAATTCTTCTAGTTTACTTATTTTGAAATGTCTTTCTTTTCTGTTAGACCCAAGCATAAAAAATAAAAGTATTTAATCAACTTGAATACTAATTTTTTTTGCAAAACTTAAATAATCCAAGTAATCAAAATTTGGATCATATAATTTTTGTTTGAATTATTTAAAACATTATTTTTAGTGGATAACATATTTGAGCAGAATGTACTGTTTTGTAAGCTTTTCAGCCTCAAGAAAACTTGAAAAAAATGTGCCCTCCAGCAGGATCTGAACTTTTGATCCACTTGATTTCAGAAATGGGATGCTCTACTCAACTAGGAGTACCCACTAAAAATGTTTGAAGTAATAAAAATGTTGGATTAAAAATAAAAATCCATTAACTCTTTGCAAAAACATGTTAAAGACACTTATGTATATTTATTTTTTTTGTTTTATCTTTCCAAGGTCTTGCTCTAGTTAGAAACACTTTCTTTTAATCATTTCCCTATTTATTACCTCATCCCCATTTATTTGCCAAACCCAAGAGTATCCAGTAAGAGACAAGAGGTAAGGAAAAAAAAAAAAAAGACAGTCACTTAGATTAGAATCAGAAGATATCAATAAATAATTCATTTAACAAGATAGGAAAAATGGAGAGATGAGTTAAATTAGGTACATCCAAAGAAATGCAACATTTAAGGTTTAAAATGAATTTTTCAAAATTAAAAATCTTTCTTTATGCTTTTATTTTAATCTTAATTTCAACCTAATAGATTAAATTAATATTTCTAATAAGCAAAATACTTAGCTGTATTTCAAAACTAGTTTAAATTGACTGGAGAGTGTTACCACTGATTTTAGCCATCTGGTAGCACAATTTAATTCTTTTTATTAAAAAAAGAATCTTTCAAAAATTAAATTTACTTTTCTGAAACTTTATTTGAGGAATATTAACTGATTTAAAGTTTAATCTGATTTCAAACAACTATTACTTACTTTTAGTTTAAAATATTGCATAAACGCATTTTTTTAAACACTGAGGTAGTTGTTTAAAGTGTTGACAGCTTGAATGACATTTGGAAATTTACCTATTTCCTTTCTTTTTCTTTGGAGAACATATGTCAAAATCACTTGAGGAATATAAAGTGTTTATATAATTTATTAAAAAATTATATATAATTTTAAAAATTTAGGAAAATATCCTCAATAATCTAATGTTTTATTGAATTTTAAATATTTTGTTTTTAAATTTACTATAGTTACTGCTATTATTTTTCTGATAACGTTATGTATAAAAAAAAAGCAACATTTATTCACACACAAAAAAGTGCTGAATTGTAGTAAGTAAGCTTTTGTATTTATGATTAGTAAATATAGTTTTTATTTAATAACAATATCAGCTAACTGGTACAAATTAATACTGAATTTTAAGATTTAAAACTATTTTTAAAAAAATAAACATTTTTGTAAAGAATTCATTATCCATTTAATTTTTTTCTTTAGACAATAGTGTCCATAATATATCTTATTCAAGAAATCAATTAAAACCTTTTCTAATTAAATAATGTCTTAGTTTTACTGCATGTTTTTTATTTTACGACACAGATTTTCCGTAACTGTGGAGGAGGGGGGTCCTACATTTTACAAAAAAAAAAAAAAAAAAAAAAAAGAAATTAAATAAAATTGATAATTTAAATTCTTCAAGGAGTCCTGTATGTAACTAATATAAACATGAAATGGTACAAAAATTAATTTCTTGAAATTTCATAAAATTAAATAAGTTGGGTAATACATATATATATATATATATTCTATACTATTCTTCTTTGGTCCCCTGCTGATGCAAGAAAAACAACATTTTTAACCAAAATTTAGGATGTTTTTAAAAAAAAAAAAAAAAAAAAAAAAAAAAATTATTTAGTAATCCAAAAATCCTTTGGTCTTTCCTCTTAAAGAATTTAATGATAAACCTTTGTTTTTATTAAGGTTGAGGCATTTTTTTCCATCATGTATGCTCATTTTAAGCAAATCTTTGGAAGCACCTAATTAAATAATTAGATAATAGGAGAGAGAAGATAAGGTGAATTTGGGATTATAGCAATCTGGTATTTATTCTATAGAGCAGGCTTGCACAAAATAGCACCCAGCTGACCCATGAGACAACCCCTCACAAATTTGTTGTGATTGATCACTTAAGATTTAGTTTACTAGAATAATGATTTTATTCAAGCCAATATTTTACTGTGTTTGTATCTAATTAAGCTTTTTAACTCTCCATGAAAAAAAAGAATTTTCTCACCATCTGTCTCTGTAAATATCTGTCTCAGTAATTTAACACAATTTTCTGCTACCAATTTAGCCCTTCATATGCTTTTCATTGTGCAGGCTTGCTACAGATTAGAGCAAGAAATCAAATTTCTCAGAATAGAAAGGGGAAGTGGAGAATGAAATTGAGATTGTCATTTGTAGATGATTAAAAAAAACTTAAAAAAAAAAACATTTAGAGTATCCTTTCAAAGCTAAGAGGAAAAAAAAAAAAAAAAAAAAAAAACACCAGACATACTTTAGTAGTTAAGAACACAATTTATTTACAAAGGAAAAATTTAATCTAATTTTATCTGAACTACACCCTGACCCCCATCAATGCTATCAATGTTAATGGTTTAGCTGTTTTGTGCACAAAATACATGGGGCACAACATTTTTAATTAAAGAACAAAGTTAAAATTATGTATGTTTATTCTTCATTTAAGATAATTATAAAGCTCAAATGTTTGTGTGTGAGCTTTTGAAAAAAATTTATAAAAAAAAGTTAAAAATTTAAAAATATGCAGATATCAATGATGTTAGTAACCGTTTCAAACTTGTCAAATGTAAATAAAATCTGACTTAGACAAAATCCAATCAGGTCAATTTGACATTGTATCAATATTATAAATCAATACTTTTTTTTATTCTGTCAAGTGTTATGGTTTAAGGAAGGTCTAAAGAATTTTAATCTACAAAAATTATTTGCAACAACATTTTTCTCTATTTTTCATACATGTAGCAGATCAATTTATTTAAGTAATGCAGATTATTTTTGTTTTCTATTTTAAGAAATTATTCAGGAAGTTTTTTTCCAAAAACAAAAATCTCCAGGGGTATAAGCTCACTGCTCTTTTTAATTTCTTCTGTAAATTTTTATTAAGCTTTTGCATTTATATGTTACAAAAGGATATTTTAATCTTTATTAATAAAATGACAAATGTGTCATGAGCTGGATATCCAAACTATGTACATCTTTACCATATTAATACTTTCATTGAAACATTATTTAACTTCCTTGATATAAATAAATATTCAAGTATTTATTCTAGTCATAGCTGTTTCTACTGATATTCTTTGAATCTTCTCATTTCATTCATTACAGTGACTAAAGATGTGTAGATAACTGTGTGGATAGTGGAATTGGCAAGACAGGCTTGAATTCTGGATGAATTAGTTGTATTCACTTTTGCACTAATGGAAAAGGCAAGAGTATCTTCTCCTAGTTATTGCTCTCTAGCCATTGGTTGCAAAAAGTCTAGAAGAAGGAATTCCACACCAAAAAAAAAAAAAAAAAGAAAAAAAAAAGGCAATTTAACTACTCCACTCTCTTTCTCAAAAAGGTATGGCAGCAATTTATAAAGAAAAGGAATGTGGAAAGTTATAATTGTATGTGTTCTGGAGGAACATGGCATATAATAAAAAAAGAAAAAAAAGAGAGACTAAAATGTAA